CACATAGCAAATAAGACTCAACTCCTAATCCCTCAAGCTAAGGTTAGACCAAACACTTACCTCAATGCGTCGAACATAATTCACGATTCAATTATAGCTTTACCCCTTGATTCCACCACCAATTCGCTCGTATCTAGTCACAAGTTACTTAATTACATCAGTAAACGCTAAATGAATCAATTTGAATGCATGAAAATGAATTTTCCAAAGTTTTACCCAAAAAGTCAAAAATTGCCCCCGGGCCCACATGGTCAAAACCCGAGGTTCGAACCAAAACCCGATTACCCATTCCCCCGCGAACCCAAATATATAATTTGTTTTGAAATCGGATCTCAAATCGAGGTCCAAATCCTCAATTTTTGAAAAACATAGGTTCTACCCAAAACACCCAATTTCCCCCATGAAAATCATTGATTTTGAGTTGAAATCATGTTAAGAGATGTTAATGATTGAAGAAAACTAGTTAAAACGACTTACAATTGATTTGGAAGGAAAGTTGCTCTTGAAAAATCGCCCTAGTGTGTTTATGTTTTGAAAAGATGTGAAAAATGGGTTTAAAATCGGCTAAGTATAAAAGTTGCCGGTCTCAGTTATGGGAATTGCGAACCAACCTCTGCTGGCTTGGGAATTGCGAAAAAGTTTGGGAAATGCGAACCTGGGAATTGCGAAGGGAGTTTGGGAAATACGAACCTGGGAATTGCGAAAAATTTTGGGAATTGCGAAGCCTGGGAATTGCGAAGGGAGTTTGGAAAATGCGAACCTGGGAATTGCGAAAAAGTTTGGGAAATGCGGAGCCTGGGAATTGCGAAGGAAGTTTGGGAAATGCGAACCTGGGAATTGCAAAAAAGTTTGGGAAATGCGAAGCCTGGGAATTGCGAAGGGAGTTTGGGAAATGCGAACCTGGGAATTGCGAAGGGGGTTTGGGAAATGCGAAGCTTGCAGGCCTGCAATTCCTTAAGTTCAAAATTTCACCCTGTGGCCTATCCAAAACTCACCCGAGCCCTCGAGGCTCCAAACCAAATATACACACAACCTCAAAAACATCCTACGGACTTATTCGTGTACTCAAATCACCAAAATAACATCATGAACATCGAATTAAACCTCAAGATCAATGAAATTTCTCAAAACTTCTTTAAACATCAATTTGCATTTAAGGTCCGAATCACGTCAAGTGGATTCTGTTTCTTTTCAAACTTCACAGAATTATCTTAAATCATATATAAGACCAGTACCGGGCGCCAGAACCAAAATACGGGCCCGATACCAACATGTTCTAATCAAAATTTATTTCCAAACCTTATAAACAATTTCAGAAAAATAATTTCTTTCAAAAATTTATTTCTCGGGCTTGGGACCTCGGAATTCGATTCCGGGCATACCCCCAAGTCCCATATTTTCCTACGGACCCTCCGGGACCGTCAAATCACGGGTCCGGGTCCATTTACCCAAAACATTGACCGAAGTCAAATTAATTCATTTTATAGTCAAAAACTTATCATTTTTCAAAGATTTTCACATTTAGGCTTTCCGGCTACGCGCCCGGACTGCGCACGCAAATCAAGGTGATGCTAAGAGCGGGTTTTAAGGCCTCAGAACGTAGAATTTCATTTTAAAACAAGTGATGACCTTTTGGGTCATCACACCGGGGCTCCACACAAAACATCCACACAAGTCTAAAATACCATACGAACTCGCTCGCGCGATCGAAACACCAAAATAACATCTAGAATCGCGAATCAGACGCCTAAATGCATGAATTAAATCATGAAACTCAAGAACTAAAAACATTTTCGCGCGTTCGATTCCTATCAAATAGACTCAAAATGACGTCAAATGTTGCGTACAAGTCATAAATGACATAATGGACCTATCCCAACTCTCGGAATCGAAATCTAACCCCGATATCAATAAAGTCAACTCCCGGTCAAACTTCTCAACCTTTCAAACCTTCAACTTTCTAACTTTCGCCAATTCAAGCCGAAACGACCTACGGACTTCCGAATCAACATCCGGACACGCTCCCAAGTCCAAAATCATCATACGAACCTATTGGAACCTTCAAATCCCAGTTCAGAGGTCGTTTGCTCAAAATGTTGACTCAAGTCAAACTTGGCCACCTTAGGCCATTATTAAGGAACTAAGTGTTCCGATTTCAACCCAAACTCTTCCAAACCTAAACCAACCATCCTCGCAAGTCATAAAATAGTGAAAACACATACGGAGAGTCTTAATTAGAAAAATCGGGATCTAGAAAACAAAATGACCGTTCCGATCGTTACAGAAACCATGAGAGTTAGTGTGAGAATCAATTATCTCAACAGGAAAGTAGAAGTAAATTTTAAATTTTCCTCTATATTTCAAAGAGATAATGGCCTATTTAAGTTTGTTCTGTCCTATATTTTTTTTTTGGCACATTAAAAGAATTACTAATAAAAGTCTTAATATCTTTCATAAGCTACATCCTACATGGCAAGTGGGCGAAGGGGGTATTCTGTACAAACCCATATAAACAGATAAATAATGCCAAAATATAAATCTTATCGTGTATTAATATTAAAGCAATAAATATTTTTTTCAAATAAATTTTAATCACTTAATTATTATTAATTAATGTGCACTCAAATTTTAATTTGTTATTCTTAAACTCAAATTATAGCATAGGAATGAATTTTTTTTCTCGAAATGAGAGTTCCAAACATACAAAATATATAGAAAGGTTACATCCACCCCCCCCCTCCCACCCCAAAAGTCTCGAACTCATTGGACAAGTATTTTGTTTTTATAATCTTCTGGTATTTTGTACCGACTAGCACGACTAATTTAAATTCGGGTGGCCTGAAACTCATTGGAAAGGTATTTACTCGGTGGCAGCTTCGTAGTTGTATGCGGTCGAAATCGGGCTCAACTATTGCATGATAGAACGGGATTGAAACGTGATGGGTTGAAAATAGACTTCGGATTCCATCGAACCAGGATACGAGATCAGAATGCCCGGCCTCGAAAATATCCAGTCCACTACCCCAAAATTGACCTTGACCCCGAATGGGCTCGAGGAAACATTGCTAGATCAAATAATGGAAGGCCGAAATATCCGTAATCGGTCGGGTATCATAGCGAGAATCTCATCACGTATCGATGAGAAGCAGACTAATTAGCAAATCATGAGATTTTTACCTTCTATAGAATTGTACCTAAAGTAGGACCCCCTACTATATAAAACATCTCTGACTATTTGTAATAAGGATCATTACACGCATCTCAAAGCAATATATAGTTATTTTTTCTAGTTCTTATTCAACTGTGTTCTAATACTGATTGAAGTGTATTCTGTTCAAGGGTGCTTCACTTCTCAAGGTTGTTACTGTTCAATCCGTGTGGTTTGAATTTACTTTATCATACTTTATTTTCATTGCAATTTAATTTATCGCTTTATGTCAATTTAATCCACATATCCTTAAAATCACTTACAAATTCAATTGTTATGTGATTTTGAGGATAAACAATAGTATTCACTTGTTTTGTTTTTTCCACGATTCACTTGTTTATTTAACAAAATTATTTACTTAGTGTTTTCATAACAAAATTTAAAAAAATTCAAAGCGCCGGATTGCTCATTGCTTACGGAGTATGTTTTATTTGCTTTAGTTTCCATGTGATAGAGGCGGCGGTATTGTGATTGTACATCAATTTGCTATCTGGAACGGTTCTAAATCGGTACAAAAGTTTTTGTTCAGTCATAAGTGTTCGAACATCGAATGTGGATTGTGACAAAAGTAAGAATGAAATAACAACTTAGGGTGTGTTTGGTACGAAGGAAAATATTTTTTGTAGAAAATGTTTGCATGGAAAATGAGTGATTTTATCACTTATAACTCTTGTTTGGTTGGTCAGTAGAAAACTTTTTCCGAAAAAATATTTTCTAGTGTTTGATGTCCCCATGTTTCCTTGCTCACCCTCTCCCCAAATACCCAACGTTTTCATTAGGACTCTATTTTTTTCAAGAATTTAATTATTTTCTAAAAATTCACACAAACCCAAAACTAATGTATTGCTTTACTTTTCTTTGCAAAAATAATGTTAAAATTTGTGCTCCATAACTAACAAGAAAATACTCTTTTTTTGGTTACAAACCCAAAACTAATGTATTGCTTTACTTTTCTACGCAAAAATAACGATAAAATTTGTGCTCCATAACTAACAAGAAAATACTCTTTTTTGGTTAAAAAAGAAAGTATTCTATTTACATCATGAAAATAAAGTACTCATTTTATTGAAATAAAAGAAAATACTTTTCTACATCATAATAAGAAAAAACTCATTTTGTTGAAATGAAAAAATACTTTTTTTTTACATGATGAAAAGAAAATATTTTTTTTGTTGAAATGAAAGAAAATATATTTTCTATGAAAAAAGTACTTGTTTTTTGTTGAAATGAAAAAAAAAATACATTTTTATATCATATAAAAAAAAAAATACTCATTTGATGAAATGCAAAAAAAAAAAAAAAAATCTACCTATAACATGAAAAGAAAGTAGTATTAATAACATCTATATTCAGGGTGGGGTTGGCGATGGGGTGAGGGGTTGGTTGGGTAGGCATGGGGTGGGGCGGGGGTTGGGGCGGGGGTTGGGTGGGGTTGGGTGGGGTGGGGTGGGTTGGTGGGGATGGGGAATACGGTGGGGCAGGTTGAAAAGGAGTTTTGTAAAATGTTTTCCTTCTCTTAACAAGGAAAACATTTTCCTCCAAAACATTTAAGCCAACCAAACATTGGAAAATTAGAAAACATTTTCCGAAAATTATTTTACTTCATACCAATAACACACCCTTAATTATGCTAGTTTTTTCTTCTTTCATACAAGTACTCCACAAGCAAAAATCTATCTGTATGGATCATGAAATAAAACATTCTATATCAATGGTACTCCAAAGTACAACAATTGGAATGAAATAATACTACTAGATTTAATTTAATAAATGCACTTTAATTTAAAATAAATTAATTGGCAGTGACAGCAGCCTTAACGCCATTAGAACAATGTGGCCCGATGGTACAAATGAAGTACTGTGTTCCTTGTACAAGTGTTACTTTGTCGTCTCCTGAACTAAAAACTTGTCCTCCGGTACCATCACAAGCGTCAAATCCTGCCTTGCTCACTTTCACAACGTTGTGCATCCCAGCCATGTATTTAAATTCTGTATTTTAGGAAAGAAAAAAGAAATAGAGAAACGTTAATTTTTGTCAAATAGATGCACAATTTCATTATTATTTGAATATAAAAATTTGCTTATGAATGCTTACCAATGACATCGCCAACCTTGAAAGTCTGGCCATTAGGCCAACCATTCATGTTGAAACCCCAACCATTAGCACCACCAGCAGGAATTGTAGCTGCTTTTGAAATGCTGGTTTGAAGAAGGACGCATAGCATCACAGCTACGGCAATAATTGTGACTCTCTTTCCTCCTGACATTTTTTAAGAATTAATATATTAAGTGGATATGCAAAAGAATTATATAAAAGAAAAGACTCTTAGTGTTGTTGTGCCAATTGAGTGAGAATTTAGACCCTTTTATAGGGAACTTCTTGTACCATTTGGCTCACAATTCATTGGATTTGGAATATCTACTGTTTTACCATTATCTGCAAATTTATTAACAACCTTCCGAAAGTGTAATCTTCGAAGTTTTTCATTGCTAAAAAATTAAAGAATCTTTATTTTTATGATAAAATTGATGGACTTTCCAGTGAGGCAAAAGTGACTAAGATTACCGAACGAAATGTGACAAAAAGAATAGGGAAATTTTAATATAGTTTCCAAAGAAGCAAAAATGTTCAAAGATACCATTTGCATTTAGAGGTTAATGCAAATTTTGAGTTCTCCTAATTGTGTAGGAATATAAAATTTCTTTTGAGCAAACTGAAAATCTTACGAAAGACTATCATATATTTTCTCAACCTTACAAACAAAACATTAGACTTCGTCTAACACTTCTAAAATTTTAGACCTAAGTCAAACGTTATCTGGAAAGGTAACTTGTGTAAGTGTTATATTTGCACAACTTTAATTTTAAAAATGGGAACAAATGTTTGGGAAATTACCAGTTATGTCCATTTATAAGTAGCTTATTATAAAAAATGGTCAATTCATAAAATATTACTAATATTAACCAATTAGCTATTTGTAGCCAAAAAGGTCAAAGTTTTGCTTTCTTTTGAGTGGGTGTTATTAGAATAGATTGAATACTATATAGCCGCTGTAAAAATAATAGAAAAAACTATATATAAAATTTTTATATTTTATACAAAAATATATAAAATCTATATGTTATATACAAAAATTATACACTTTTTCGAATACTAGATGTAAATAGTACTTTGTGCGCGCGGGCTAAAAGTGATAATACCCTTTTTTTTTTGGATCTTTATATAAATACCCGGCTATATTTATTGTTGAAATAAAGCTTGTCATATTTCATTTTTTCTTTTTCAATGTGGTATCGTTAAAAATAATTTTCTGCAGTTAAACAAGGAAATATTTGCCTTTACATGATAATTAGGATGTAATTTGTGGATCTTAGAAGACTCCAGCACGATTATCTCATTTGTAGGTTAATATTTAGCTCAAACCGATCTTTTTCTGATTTAACTTAAATGTGAAGGAATAGATATATTCCCAATATCAAAAACTCAAAAGGCTAAGAAATTTTATCTGAAATATATTCAAACTTTACGTTTTGATATAACTAGAATATCACCAATAAAATATGACCTTATAATCTCATATCATAAAATTGAAATCAAGATCCAATAATTTTGACACTAAAACATTTTGTCCTCTTAAATATAATATATTTAATTAGCAGTAACTGCAATCTTTTGGTCAAATTGACAATGAGTTGGCTTCCCACAAATAAAGTAGCTTGTGCCCTTGCCAAGTGTTACTTTATCATTTCCAGAAGTCAATGTTTTTCCAGAAGGCGTACAACTATCGTAGTTCTCCTTGTTCACTATCACCACACTGTGAACATTTTTGGGGTAATTGAACACTGCAAAAAAAAAAAAAAAAAAAAAAAAAAAAAAGGTGTTAAAGCCATGAAGTATCTAATGCAGTCGAGTTCTTAATTAATTTTTCGTTTTAATAAATAAGCAGTTACATGGTTTAATTTATTTAAAAGGATTTTGACATTAAAATTGCTCTAAAAACTTCAAAAAAGAATTAAATCTCGCTCAATTAATTTTTTCACGTAATTTATACATACCTAGCACATCGCCAACTTTGAAATTTTTGCCATTAGGCCAGTTGCTAACGCCAATATCCCAACCACCATCATCGCCAACATTATAAGTAGTTGCATTTGCTATTTGGATGGTAAATAAAACCATAAATATGACCAGAAAAATTGCAGACCCTTCTAATTTTCCTGACATTTTTCTACTTAGTAATAATAATTATGTATTTTAGTAGAAACTGTATATAGTATAGTTGTGATGGAATTTCAAAAGGTGTAGTCCTAAGACTTGAAACTTAGGTGAATACCTTAAGTTAGAATTTGTGGCTATTTATAGTGGCACAACTAGAGTGTCCAATTATTGCTAATAATATTAGTTTCTCCAGATTTTGACTATATTATGCAATGTAGATTTCATGAAATATGCTAATATGTAGCATGGTGAAAAGTGTGACTTTTGGTGTGGACAAGTGACAACAGGGCAATTTATTATTCAACTATAGAACCTAACATAAATGTTTAGATGAAAGTAATTCTATACAAGGATTTTCCAGATTAATATTGATTAGATATTCGTTACAAGTGTGCTTTTTATTATTCTCAACGTTGATACTCGAAAATGTTGGATATCAATTAAATATATGTTATTGAACTTGAGGAATTAATCTAACTCCACTTATTTGGGTCAACATGTATTAAGCGAAGATGTAGCCATTGAGTTTCAAATGACACCCCTAACGAACCCCAATTATCAATTTGTCAAAATTTTGGACAAATCACAAAAATCATTTATGAGTTTTCAATCTTTTAGAATTTGAGCAATAGAGATTTTAATTTTCATTTTAATTCACCCAACGATGCTTAAATGTGTAATGATAAACATGAATATCACTCTCAAATAAGTTTCTAACACATTTTCGCAATATTCTGTTAATAGGTAAAAAGAAGTTACAAATAATATACAGAATAGATTAAATTAGGCAAGAGAAAAGAATATAGACTAACTCACATGTACTTCCCCGTAATTATTTACTTTTCCGTTGGACTTGATTACCGTAGTTACTTTTTTGTTTAACTCAAACAAATTTTTTTATTATGCTAAATCAACAATCAGTAAGTTTACAATAGGACTAGGAGCATACTTTCAATAGAAGTGACTAGCATAATAGACTCTCTTGCCGAGCAATGATCAACTATATTTACTTGCCTCCTAGTCCAAAACCAGAGAAAATATTAGAATTTCTCCTTTACCAGAAACGACAATCTTTTAAAAGTACCTAAACTTGAGATAATACGTGAGAAATCCTTTTTCATTAGCTAAAAAAATCAACAAGACGCTTGAATGAATTTGATTAGCCATAAATTCGACTAAGGACTCATTTTTTTTTTTAAAGATTGAGATGTCTGAATCTGAATACACATCCGAATATTAAGATGTGTATTAAGATCTGAATACTAAATGATTAAGACTGTTTGATTTTTAACATCTGAATATATAAAATTTAACTTTATTTGAAAATTAATAAACATAAAATTCATATGAAAATACTAATTAATCTAATATTCTATCAATAAAATATATAATTTTTTAAAAATATAATAGTTGCTGGTGGTGATGGCTAAAGTGCTTGTAAATGCCGACTAGAGCCGGTGGTTGGTGGTAGTTTTGGTTGATGGTGGTGGTTCAAGGTAGCGGCTAGTGGTGATTGGTAATGGTGGCGATTATGATTGAAGATGGTGGTGATGGGTAGTGATAGTTAATAATAGCGGGTGGTGGTAGTTGTGATTGCGGAAGGTGGCAGTGAGTGGTAGTAGTTTATAAATGATGGGTAGTGCCGGTTATGGTTGCTGATGGTGATGGGGTGGTTAGTTGTGGTAGTTGATATGTAACGACCCGACCGGTCGTTTTGAGCTTTAGCACTTTGATCGCCAGTCTCGGGCATGACTTGCTCCGTGTAATGTATTATGACTGATGTAGGTCGTTGGTTTTGGTTTTCAGGAAAATTTGGAATGAATTTGAAAGAACAGTCTCAGTTGAAAGCTTTGAATTTGAAAAGCTTGACCAAGAGTTGACTTATTTGTATATGAGTTCGGATCGGAATTTTTATGATTTGGTTAGCTTCGTTGGGTGATTTATGACTTAGGAGTGTGATCGAAAGTGGTTTTGGAGGTCCGGTGTAGAATTAGGCTTGAATTGGCGAAGTTAGTATTTTGGCAATTTCCGGTTGATAGGTGAGATTTTGATCCGAGGGCCGGAATGGAATTCCGAGAGTTTCTGTAGCTTCGTTATGTGATTTGGGATGTGTGTAAAATTTCAGGTTATTCGGAGGTGATTTGGTTGGTTTTTTGATCAAATGCGTGTTTCGGAAGTTCTTGAAATTCTTAGGCTTGAATCCGATGCAAATTTGGTATTTTAATGTTGTTTTGAGCGTTCCGAAGGTTGGAATAAGTTTGAATAATGTTATGGGATATGTTGGCGTGTTTGGTTGAGGTCCCGAGGGCCTCGGGTGTGTTTCAGGGTAGTTTCGGATCATTTCGGGCTGTTTTGCAATAGCTAAAGCTGGTATCTGGTATTGTTCTTCGCGTCCGCGAGGGTCCCCTCGCGTTCGCGAAGAAGGATTTGGCTTCTGGGATTTTGTTCTTCGCGTTCGCGAAGAGAGCCTCGCGTTCGCGGAGAAGAAGAAATTCTGTTGCGCAGGTCTTACTTCATAGGCTCGTATCTCTCAATCTACAATGAATTTTGAGATGATTCAAAAACGAAAGTTGTAGCCCTTTGAATCTAGTTTCCAGAAACATATTATAATAGTTATTTGGACATCTGCAGCAAAAGTTATTGCCATTATACTAGAGGCTGTCCGAGAAGAGTTTGAAAAATAATTTTTGGAAATTTTGTTCTTCGCGAACGCGAGAGGAGGACCGCGAACGCGATGAACAAATCCCTGGGCAGCAGAATAAAGTCCAAACTCGTCTCACTCTTCCATTTTTGGACCAAGGGAGCTCGGGTGAGGCAATTTTTCGAGAGATTTTCAAGAAAAACATCGGGGTAAGTGTTCTTAACTCAATTTTGGTTAGATTACCCGAATCCATTGTTATTTTTAACATGTAATTGGTGATTTTAAGTTGGAAAAGTATGAAAACCCTCTTGGATATATTTGAGGATTTGAGGGTCGAAATGTTATCGGAAATTAGTAATTTTGGTATGGTTAGACTCGTGGTTGAATGGGTTGTCGGATTTTGTGAGTTTCGTCGGATTTCGAGAAGTGGGCCCGGGGCTCGGGTTTTGCTAATTTTGGAATTTTTGATATTTTTTGATTGTTTTCGCTTGGGCTTTGTTCCCTTAGCATATTGTGACGTATTCGTTCTGGTTTTGGTCAGATTCGACGCGCGAGGAGCCCGATTTGAGAGACAGGGGCATAGCGAGCTAGAGCTTTTGCCGGTTTGAGGTGAGTAATGATTGTAAATGATATCCTGAGGGTTTGAAACCCCGTATTTGCACATCTTAGTGCTATATTGAGGTGACTTGCACGCCGGATAGCGAGCGTGGGGTAGAGCACCGTTGGGGATTGTGACTTGGTCCGTCCCGATTGATGAATTTATTGCGTATTTGACTGAAATTTACTTGTTATCATCATAATTTGGGCTGATTGCCATATTTGGGTTTCGTGCCATCTATTTGAACCCTTCGGGGATTGTTGTTGATATTTCCTCACTGTTTTGATTTTATACCTGAACTCAGTTATGTATTTTCCACTGTTTTTAAGACTCAGCCAAGTTTATTTTGCTTTAACACTTGAAATGATATTTCCAATAATATTTGGGCTGAGCATCATGTTTTACTGTTGCCCTAGTGGCTTATGTGATTTTTGACTGAGCAAGGCCGAGGGCCTGTATTGTGAGGATACTTTTGGATCGGGCTGCACGCCGCAGCAGTGAGATACTGATTTGATATGAGGCCGAGGGCCTAGATTTGATGCCACGAGATGGCTTGATATTGCGCTTGGGCCGTAAGGGGCCCCTCCCGGAGTCTGCACACCCCCAGTGAGCACCGTCGACGATAAATGGATCGGGCTGCACGCCGCAACGATATATGGATCGGGCTGCACGCTGCAGCGGTACTGGTACTGTTCTATGTGTTTACTTTATTTTATTTGTCTGCCATTATCTGTTGTCTGTGCTATTTCATGCAATACCTACCTGATTGCCTGCATTATCTGAAAACTGAGTGTTGTGCCCGAGGGGCGAATTTCTGTGCTTATCTGCACTATTGTTTGCATTCAATTGCGTAACCGCTGAAAAAGTTATTTCCAAAAGAGGTTTAAACTGAGCCAAGATGTTTTCTAAGGATTTCACAGCTTCACTGTTTTCTAAAAAGGGTTTTACACTGCTCTATACAGCATGACGGTTTGTTTTACGTGATTTCTTACTGCTCCGTTATTATTTACCTTTATTACTCACTGAGTTGGAGTGCTCACTTTACTCCCTGCACCTCGTGTGCAGATGCAGGTATTTATTCACCCGGTAGCGGGTTTTGGCCGATTGGAGGCAGAGCTATAGGAGTTTAGCGAGGTGACTGCCAGCGTTCGCAACACCGCTTCTCTCTCTGTTGTTCATTATTCCTATTCAGTGTATTTTTAGACCTTGTAGTTGTATTTACACTCTTATAGATGCTCGTGACTTGTGACACCCCGATTAGGGCTGTGTTGGGTTGTACTTCCGCTAATTAATATTATTTAAATCATATTTAGACTGCTTATTCATGTTTAACTATTTTTTTGAAAAGGCGATATGGGTTAGTAGGCTGGCCTTGTCTTCAGGAGAGGCGCCATCACGATCAGAGCGGGGATTTGGGTCGTGACGTTGAGGTAGATGAGTGTTGGTTGTGTAACGACCCGACCGATCGTTTCGAGAGTTGTAACCCCATTCCCCCATTTTCTGCTTCTTTTGTGTTCTACAGCTGTATTATGACTTATCGAGTTAGTTGGTTCGGGTCCGGAGTGATTTCAGAATGAATTGAGACACTTAATCTCTTATTTGAAAGCTTAAGTTTGAAAAGTTGACCGGATATTGACTTATGTGTAATCGACATCAGATTTGAATTTTTATGGTTCCGTTAGCTCCGTTAAGTGATTTTGGATTTAGGAGCGTGTCCGGATTGTGTTTTGGAGGTCCGCAGTAGAATTAGGCTTGAAATACCGAAAG